ATCAGCAAAATTCAAACACAGTTTCACTTATTAACACATTTCTTGGCCTACAAGGATGTAATCAACTGATGGCTCGTTATTTTGAAGGGTAAAAATAAAAACAATTTGTAAAGTTGACAATTGTTCTTCCTTGCTATGTCTACCTTACCAGTAACATAAAGACAGATATATCCAAATGCTGGGGTCCTATCTATATACACTATAGTATTTCAAATGTGCTCTGTGCCCTGCAGGCATAATATTTAGTTCTATGTTCTACCCAAGGCCTAAAACAGGTGGTACAGAATAAAATCAACTGTACTAAGAGTTAGAGTTGTGACTTCAAGGCCTACTAAGTCAGTGGAAAGAGCACCGTTCTGGGTTACATCAGATTGTCTGTGCGACTTTGGGAGAATTATACAATCTCCCTAGGCTCCTAGTTTCCCATATGTAAAAGGAGGGTTGAATTAATCGTATTGTCTCTGAGGTGCTATCTGCTCTATTTCTATGATCCTAGGACCTCTTTGGGTTGAAATATCCATGTCTCTGGTGACATATAAAAAGTTCAAGAGACATAGTTTCTGAGTAATTAATCATTTTATTAATCATGCCAGTATATAATTAATAAAAAGGGTCAGTGGTTCTCTCAAATGCCAAAGATCACTCATGGAACCCACTCAACACCTATATGCCCTTGGAAGAGCGGGTGCTGCTGAGGGTGGTAGTTAACTCTGAATGAGAAGAACAAATATTATAAAGAGAGGTGGGCTTGGTCAAAGAGACTTATCTATACCCATATCACCCTGCCTAGGTTAATGTAGTTAAAAGGGAGAATCCACTTTTCCCTAAAACTGTCTGAGTAAAACACAATGGGCCAGAATCCATCAATTCACCTAAACTAAAATTTCTTTACTTTTGAACAGATCTGAGTTTTCCCTCTCATTACCAGACCTATATTTCAAAGGCTGACTGAATAACCTACGGGGGCTGATTTCTGAATGAGGAAGTAGGAAAGGGGAAAAACCTTAGTTCTAATTCAATAATTGGTTATCAATATAAGAGAAATAATCATTTCTCTCATTATAAAGTGAGGGGATCTCCAAGGTCCATTTCACTTCTAGCAATGACCATACACCAACATTCAATAAACAAGATCTGATCAAAGCAAGTAGTAAAGAATCTGACTTTCACTTATTGCTTTTCTGTATACTTTTAGCTGACTTTAGGCTGTTCCCCATGCTTGAGATACTGGGTCAGTTCTAGTCAAATGACCAGATGAGAGATAAATGCTTACCGATCAATAAAAAATGTATGGGTCTTTTGCCAGGTGTAGACCTTTACATTTGTAAAGGAGTCAAATTTTTTTTTCCTGGGATTTTGCTGTTGGCAAAGATGTGTTATAAAGGCAGTGAAGCTGGCTTGGGGGAAGAGGTAGGAAGGGGAGACCAATATTTGTCTCTGTAGCCTAGATTTGGTTCTGACTTAAATTCATTTACCTGCTAACCCAGGTAGGATCTTGGGAATATCTAAGATAGTTGTCTGCAATAGAGGGCTATGATCTCTGCCTAGACATTGAGTTCTGAAAAGAAATGCCTTAATATTAGCTTAGAAGCAAGCATTCTACTTTGTGTGGCATCTGTGTGTGGTACCATGACTAACGAGTTGTAAGTCTGCCCTTATTAGGAAGAGATTCTAGCCACTAGACCTTAGGACAGGTAATCCTAAAGAGCTGAAGCCCAGGAGGGCCCAATGTCTATAAGACTATATAGCCAGTGGTCAATACAAACCCACTGGAGATCAATGGAACAACACCCAGCTAAATCATAAGAAGCTATCATGGGACTAGTGGAATGTCACACCTAGCAGAGATGCTGTGCACAGGGGGAAGCAGGCTCGATGAGAGTAGCATGATGAAATCATCAGAACACATGAATGCCTTGGCCTTAGCGTTGTGTCATACTTTTCTCCAAATATGTGCCTTAGCCATACTTTTCTCTAAATATGCATGGCACTACTCATGCACTGATAGTGTGTTTATTTTTTCGTCAGATTTATGGGCAGGAGGTGATGTTCTGTTGTGACTTTATGTATTTATTTTTAGTATTCATTAAATATCTGCTTTGAACCAGTTGTGTCCTCTAGATGACTAGAACAAAAGCAAACACATTGATGGGGGGCTTGTGAACTACTGATTTGAGTGGATTGTGCACTCGGAGAGTACACTGAATCTGAAAGAGCAATTCTGGTGAGAGTTGGGTGGGGGGAGGTGCTACATTTGCAAATAACCACTTCTATGTTTTCATTAGCTGTTGATTATAAGATCATTAAAAGGCTCGAAGGATATTAAATGCACTGCAAGGAAGGCACCATTACTCCAATAAAATATTCATCATTTGGGAGCTATGAATTTTAATTCCATTTCTAGAATTCCAATGGAATTTCATTCCACTTAGGGGCAGCTAGCTGACACAGTAGATAGGGTGCTGAGCCTGGAATCGGGAAGTCCTGAGTTCCTGACCTCAGACACTTACTAGCTGTGTGACCTTGGGCAAGTTACTCAACTTCTCTGTTGGCTTTAGTTTTCTCAACTGTAAAATGGGGGTAATAATAGCACCAACTTTCTAGGGTTGTTGGAAGGATCAAATGAAATAAAAATTGTAAAGCTCTTAGCATGGTGCCTAGCATATAGAAAGCATGTGTAAGTGTTAGCTACCATCATTATCATTATTATTATTTCTGACATTAAATTGTGTCTGACACTAAAATGTGACCTAGAAGCAAATCTAGCTGCATTACAGTCATTTCCCATGAAACCTGAGAACAGTAAAATATAAAATTCTTGGCAAAATATTTAAGCATGTTCTTAAAATATACCTCATAGATATACAAATTATTACAAAGTGAAGTGCTTAAAAGAGAAATAAAACAGAAGCCAATGGACTGGACTAGTTTTCAGTTATGCACACCAAAACATCAAAGGGAAAATACCAGATAAAATTCTGTTAGATGTTCTCAATGGCCAATAAGATTTCTTCTTCATTGCTAAGTTTCAAAAACAAAAACAAAAAAGCCTATTACTATCAATTGTTTAAAAATTTAATACCATTTTATTTTTCCAATTACATGTAAAGACATTTTTCAACATTCATTTGAAAGTTTTGGACTTCCAAATTTTTCTCTCTCTCCCTCCCCTACCTCTTCCACAGGACAGGAAGCAATCTGATATAGGTTATATACATGTGCAATCATGCAAAACATGTTTCCATATTAGTCATGTTGTGAAAGAAGAAACAGAACAAAAGGAAAAAAATACCTATGAAAAAAATACAAAAGAAAGTGAAAATAGTATGCTTCGATCTGTATTCAGGCTCCATCAAGTCTTTCCCTGGATTACTGTGATTTTGAATATCAGATAGAGCACCAAGCCTGGAGTCAAGAAGACATGGATTCAAATTCAGTCTCAGACACTAGCTATGGGACCCTGAGCAAGTCACTTACCCTTATTTCCCTCAGTTTCCTTGCCTGCAAAATGAGCTGGAGAAGGAAATGGCAAACCACTCCAGGATCTTTGCCAAGAAAACCCCAAATCAGGTCACAAAAAGTCAGACATGACTGAAACAACAGTACAAAAATTTTAAAACGAAGGCCAAAACTTAGTTTTGATAAATACCTCTCTCCCTGAAATGATCAAGGAATTCTGTTTATGCAACAATATGGAGAGAAAAGTTCAACCAGATATTTCAAAACTCTTACAAAATAGAAGATACAAATGAAAAAAAAGCGAAAAGATGCAAAGTGAAGAGCAAGTAGCCTATTTCATTCCTTTTTTTACCTCTAGAATAGGAATATCACTTACCTTTGTTGTATCTTCCTTCTGGACTGTTTTCTCCTGCACTTTAGACACTATGGATAAGTGGCAGTCAAACCCACTCTAAGAGCAGACTGCTTCTGCCTACGTCTTTTCATTTCCTTAAAAAGAAATAGTGTGGCCAGACAGCAACAACTGTGTAGAGACTTCCTGTTACTCAGGGCACTTTCTAGGACCTTTGCATAGATATCAGTGAAACTTATTGATGTTAATTTGATATTCAAAGTTCATGGGAGCTTACAAGTATGCACTACTATGTCATTCCTAATTTAACTCTTAAGCTAAGTTACACTAGAAAATATATACAGCAAAATTCCTTGTTTCCACTGTTGAAACATATATTTTGGTACTATATGCTATTACATTTAATATAACATAAATATATTAATATATTTTCTCAGACTTTTTACATTTTTTTGTAGTTATAAAAGCAGTTTGGCATAGGGATGATGAAATGGACTCGGGGTCAGGAAACCACTATTCAAATCCTGTTTCAGACACTTAATGTCTATGTGATCAAGTTCTTTAAACTTTTATTTATTTATTTATTTGCTTCAGTTTATGGAAAAGTATAAAAATAGACCTGCTTTCAGCTTCAAGAAAAAATACATTTGCCTTCAGTAAGTAATAGTAAAAATGTTACCAATTATAAACTACAAAACACTACATTTCTGTAGTGCTTTAATATTTCAAAGAGTTTTTGTATTTAATTACTGTGTATACAGGCAATTAAAGTTACTTTGACCATAACAATTTTCATCTTGGGAAAACTTAATTTGGAAAGTAAATATTCTATCTCTGAGATATAAGGATGTATAGCAATATTAAAGATAAATGATTTTGAATTACATAATATTAACATTTTAAATTTTGTAGAATCTAAGAATCTCAGAATTAGAAGGGATCTGACTTCTAGTCTGGCATCTCCAAATGCCTATTGTACATCTCAAACTAGATGGGTCATAGTCATCTTAAACTCAACATATCTAAAGTTGAACTCATTATCTCCACCCTCTCACAAACTCTCCCCACTGTGGAAGGTCCTCCCAGTCACCCAGGCTTGTAACCTAGGTGGGATCTTTGACTAATTCTTCTCTTTCACCACCTCCACCCCCACCCATAAACAATCAGTTGCAAGTCCTGTCATTCCTACCTTCAAAACATTTCTTTTGCAGTCCTCGTTCTCTCCTCTCACACTGCCACCACCTCAGTACGGATCCTCATGACCTCATTTCTGGACTATTGCAGTAGTACGATGGTTGTTCTCTCTTACTCAGGTCTCTCTCTCCATTCTAGCCTGTTCTCCATTCAGAGGTCTTCCTAAAACTCAAGTCTGAACATGTCACCTCCTATTTAATCAATGCCATTGGCTCTCTGTTGCTTCCAGGATCAAATATGAAATCCTGTTTGCCTTTCAAAGCTCTCAAGTAACTTGCACACTTCCTACCTTTCTAGTTTTCCTTCCCCACTCTGATGCCCTGCCTCACCCCCCCCAAAGGACTCTATGATCCAGTGACACCAGCCTGCTTGCCACTCCTTCTACTAAACATTTCATCTCTTGATTCTGGGTATTTTCATCAGCTTAGATTTCTCTCTCTCCTCACTTCTACTTCCTGTGTTCCTTGACTTCCTTCAAGTCTCAACAGTCCCACCTTCTGCAAGAAGGCTTTACCCACCCCCTTAATTCTGTTTCCCTCTGTTGATTATCTCCAATTAGCCTGCCTGCATCTGGTCCCCATTGGACTACGAGATCCTTCAGAGCAGAGACTGCCTTTGTATTCCCAGTGCTTAGCACAGAGCCTGGCATATACCAGTCACTTAATAAATGCTTGTTGACTGACTGATGCTACAGGGCATCTGGTCTAACTCATGCCCAAACCAGAATTCCAACAAGTGGTAATTGATCACTTTCTCGAAGACCTCAGTGAGAAGGAACCCACAATCTCCTGAGCCAGTTCATTCAACTCTTGTATGATTTTAATTGTTAGGAAGTTTTCCCTTATGCTTGGCTGAAATCTGCCTGTGAAACACTGTTCCTTGTTCTACCCTCTAGGATCAAGCAAAACAAGTCTTCAGCCTTCATGTAATTGTCCTTTAAATATCTAAAAACTTAGAGTACTTTCAAATTCTTTTCCTCTTACTAAATTGGGTGTTCCCCAAGGTTCTGTCCTTTTTTCTCTGCTCCATTTATTATGATTTTCAGTCTGACTAGTTTAGCCCTGAGCTTCTTCTTATTGTTGCTATATAAAAATTTTCTTCCCTTCTTTTGCTTTCCTTTCTCTTCTATTCCTCTCCAATCCACTCCCTTCCCTTCGCCCTTGGCAAAAATCCAATATCTTCAGCTTCCACTTCTGTATATATGACTTCCAAATGTACATTTCCTGATCTGACAGATCCAGCCTCAGACACTTACTAGCTGTGTGACCCTGGGCAAGTCACTTAACCCCATTTGCCTCCTGATCTGTAAAATGAGGTGAAGAAGAAAATGGCAAACCACTCCAAGTATCTTTGCCAAGAAAACTCCAAAAGGCATCACAGAGAGTCAGATATGACTGAAACAACTGAACAACACTTGGATATTCTAGCAGCACCTCAAACTCAGTGTGTCCAAAACACCACTTACCCTCTTTCTCTTCTCCATTTCTGTCAGTGATTGGTATCATCAGTCACACAGACTTGAAATCTCCATATTGTCATTGCCATTGTCTTCTCCTCCTTCTTCCTCCACCTCCTTCTTCTCCTCTCCCTTCTCTTTTTTCCTTTCTCTTCCTCTAATCACTTACCAGCTTCCATTGATTCTCCCCAATACCTAACATACTCTTTGAACATAGGAGCTAAATGAATGAACCAAATCAATGAATTAATCTTTCAGTAATATTTAGCATACATAAATTCATTTGACCTTTGTAACAATAGAAATATCCCTATTTTATGGATAGAAAAATGAGATATTAAAATGGTAAGTGAATTGCCCTCGGTCCTCGGGAAGGGAGACCTGAGATGAAAGCCTAACTCTCCCAATATTCAATCCAATGCTGCCATCTACCATGCTGCGCTATCGATATAGTTTTGATCTTATCATGCCATATCCCTTCTCTGTCATCATCAGGGGTTGCCTGTATTGGGCACAATGATAGCAAAGGACAACAAATAGAACTCATCTTAGATATTAATTTTTAAAACCTCATCATTTGATTCAATGCAATTTTTTCCCCAACTGATTAAACAATTTATATATTAAGACTAGATTTTGAGGGGATCATCTTGAGAGACTCTGAAATTCATTTAGTTCCTAGATTAAGGCAGCATGACACAGCTCAAGGGCACTACATTTAGAGTCAGAATACTTGGATTTGAAAAGCCAGCTTTAGCCATAGGACAATGGGAAAATCATTGTGCCTTTCCATGCCTGGGGTTTTTTTTTTTTATCAGCATAAGTAGAATAATAATCATTGTACTATCTACCTCTTAAAGCTGTTACCAGGATCAAATGTATACCTATAGGTACATACAAATACCTATACACAGATAGCTATTACTTTATAAATTGTGAAATATCATAGAAATGTTATATACAATGTTATATAATTCTGTTAAGTCTTATTGTCTGAGTTCCACTTCTATTAATTGTTTAAAAGGAAGTTGTTTTTTTTCTAAGACACTAACTTCTACTTTGTTTTGGCTATTCTGCTGATTTAGAAAAGGACAAGTCTTCAGCAAGAACATAGAGAAATTCCCTTTGCTCAGATTCTTATTTTGCCTTTGTTCCCCATTTGTTTAATTGCCTGAAAACTGAATAACGTTTTTTGTTTTTATGTACTAGGGCTCCAAACTACTACCTCAGAAATATCCCCAATTTGGAGTACAAAACTACTCACAATAATGTTCATTAGCTCCCTCGCACTGCATTTCTCCCTTTCAATCTCATAGTATTTGTCCCATTACCTCATAAAATTGTGATAACAACAATTCATCAGGATTTCATCACCTTACAGTATAAGTTAGTGTCTATAAATCATGGTGGCATGAGTTGGTGATGCCAGTTCCTGTGGCCATTTCCTTCCCCTTGCTTCTTCTTTTGTCCTTTCTCTCTTAAGCTTTGTATTTCTCAATCTTGTGTTTCCTCCTGTGAATTTGCACCAGTTCTGGCTAATTCCTTGGCATATGGACATGAAGCATCTACTAATTGTGGCTGATGGAAAATATAGCTAGGCTGGCTACATGTCTCTCTTCAGGGTTCTAGAGGGTACACCTGAGGGATTGAGGTTGACTTTCTCTAATATCATTGGTTCAAACCCCCTACAGGTGGGCTATCTCCTCAAGATTACCAGTTGAGGATCATTTTAGTTCACCAGCCTCAAGCAGCTTTTAGAAATGAGGACTTACTAAGATAACCATGTTAGGGATCTGTAGGACGTTGAGGACCACAGGCTGCTCATGAGACTTCCCTGATGGGCAAAGGCCCCTCTCGAGTATTAGTACATGAGCAGAATATCCTGGCTCGGTTCTCCGTCCACGGACCTTGCACCTCCCAGTCAGCAGAACTCTGATGCTAGGCGAGCTCAAACTATAAAACAATGTTGCTAGCTCAAGCACAGTCAGCTCTAGCACAAAGATATATCCAGTATTGCTAGTTCATGTATCAAGTATTGGGACATTCCGGGAACAAGAAGTACATGGTGTTTTTACGGGAACAGCGCGGGAGAAGGACACAGTCAGGAGAATGTTGCAAAGAAATATACTTGTGGATACTTTGATTGGTATTCGCGTGAGAAAAATTCTCGGTATTGCCTAGTGGTAAAGATACGTAAACTTCGTTGCTTTGTCCGCTGTTACATTGGGGCATGTTCCCATGAGTCAAAGAAATAAAGCGCTGTCCTGTGCCTTGAATAAACGGAGCTTCACCATCTTATCTGCCTGCCTCTCACTGCTCCGCGCAGGGTATCAGGAACTGGTACTTAGCATTCCTGGGGAGAGTTTAAGACTCTCACAGCCACTGAGCTGGACGCGGGCAACAATACCATAAGAGCAGTTATTATAAAACATCCCCCAAAAGTCTGTGACCCACTCTCCCACAAGTACTTAGAGAGTTCAAGGAAAAAGTAGGTTCAAGCTTAGCGTGCACAGATTCCAATTTCTGAAGTCCTTTTCTTTCATCTGTGGGGTAAAAATTCCCCATAAGGAATGTTCCATAGGTATGGTATGGCTTTTTACCCACGTACATCCATGACCAGTCTGTTCTTTGTTCCTTATGATGCAGGCACCACCACCAATTAATCTGGTGATGCCGTTTAGAACACTGATGGGAGGATGACAGCCACTGCTGTCCTGGGATTACTATTAGGCCACTGCAGGGAAGATTGGAGATCCAACAATTTTCTTCTCCCAAAACTAGAAGGTGGGGGAAGGAAGAGGAGAACTGACCAAAGACAAAGCCTTTATTTCATCCCCTAGGAAGTTCTTTCTCAGAGGTTTCAGCAAGAACTCCACATTCACTCCAATTTCTGAAATCTCCTTTCTCAACTCCTTTGGTAATTTATAGACAATCTCTGGATATAGCCAAGTTTCTTCAGCCTATTTGAACATTTGTGTAGTGTCAAAAGTCATTTAGCACTTACTCCAAGGACTAGTTGTGATTGATTGAGATATAGGTGGTTAGAGTATCACCACTAAAATGGGGTTAGTTGGTTTCCCTAGTCCCTTTCTTGAGCTTAAACCATCTTCATCTGCAAACATTTTACTTGTAAGCAAAATGATATGGCAGCCGAGGACAAAAGAGGTTTAGAAAAGAAATTATTTTTAATCTCTTTTAGAGAAGGATGGTAGAAGATTATGAATAGTATCACACCATAAAACAGAGAAAAGCTTTGGATGGTAGTCCTAGTTAAAATCACCTGCAAAGCAAAAGTCTAGTATGGAACAGGGACAACAAACAGAATAAAGATGAAAAAGACCTACACAGATTTTTATGAAAAATGCTTCTCATTATCAAAAACGGTGAACCTGTCACATACGGACTGCAACTTCATAGTCCCAGACATACTTATAGTGAGAGTAGGAATGGCTTGAAAAAGAAAAAAGATGGAGAAATTCACCTGGGTTAGATTAATTGGACACAAAGATCTTTGCTAGAAGCCACATAATGGTGACGACATTGAAGGATCAGTTAGTTCACAAGGTATATGACAGGGGAGAAGATACCAAATGTATGGATAATTTTAAACCTAATTAAGACCAAGCAAAGATGACTGAGAGATCAAATATTACCAACTTAAATATCTACTAACTCTCTTGAATGTGAATGGAATAAATTCACTCATAAAACAGAAACGGATATATCAGAATGGATTAAAAATCAGAATCCAACAACATGTTGCTTATGAGAAACACATTTAAAAATGAGAGATACACAGTTAAAATAAAGGCCTGGAGTAGAATTTATTATGCATCAGCCGATGGAAAAAAAAAGTGCA